GAATGAATATTGCATAAAACATTGCATCCTGAAGACATAGCAAGTCCTTGCTCTTAGATTGTGCATAATGCTTACACAACATCAGTAATTTTTGATAATACGAGTTCTGTCTGCTGCTTCTCTTTTCTGTTGTTTCTTTGCCCATGTTTTATCTATTTTTTAAAAAAGAAAACTTTGGAAGCTTTTTAAAGAAAATCAATTTCAGAGATTAACATAGGTTTTTAGCAACCACTTCCTAGTGGTAAATCATCCATAAAAACGGAAAAAGCAGGTGAAATACAAGTGACTGATGATTAATACTGGAGTTTTTTGTTTCTTTATGGGTTTGATGAAAAGGTCTATTGAAAACACAACTTTATAAATAATAATTGAATCTTTATATTCAAGTTAAGATGTCACTTTATAAGAAAAGCTTTAGCGTTTTTTCTCCCTCCCTTTCTCCAACTACTCTTGCACTGATTTTGCCATAAATACAGCCCCGTTTTTCAGCCTTTTTGCTTCAAAGGAATCAAAGTCAAAAGTCGATTGCATCCGTACTGTTGCCACTGCTGGAATGTGGGGCTTTTTTTCAACATTTGAAGCGTGTGCTGCTACCGCTGAATGGACACAGATTATTGAACAATAGTAAGATAATGCAGAGAAATCTTCAATCTCTCAGTGTATTGAAAATGCCACCTTTCTTCTGCCTTTAAAGATTAATAGTTTTGCTGCAATATGTTCAACTCCTTTGATGTTTAAATATTAGATGCTATAGCTCTTTCAGACAACATTAAACAGAAGTGATATTTCAGTTCAACTCTTGACGGTTGGCAAAATTTTCTCGCTAATAAGTACACCAGCTGAAGGGACCTTGTGCACCTTTGCCTGATTCTCGCATGAAAACATTAGGTCCAGAGAATATGAGGTGTATATTGCTTGCATTTCAAATGTACTTCACAGTCAAGGTTTTGGGTTTTATATTAGATATTAAATTTTTTGGCATCGTTTTTTGATTTTATCGAAACCCCAAGGGAGTTTTTGCATGGACTTCAGTAGCATTTGAACTCAGCACATAGGAGTCTGAAAAATAGTTACTTTGCCAAGGAGTTGTTTTCCTTGATCTGTTTGGCCAAACATTGATTTTGCTCCCCCATGTGCTCTGAATGCAATTTGGAATTAATATCTGCTTTTATTAGAAAGCAACTTTTAAGGCAGGGAGCAGTGTCATGTCTTTCCTAAGCATTTTTACAGAACAGCAACATCACAGCTGCTGGAAAAGCTTTGCAATCTGTGTGTGTCAATTACTGCTAAAAAGTGCTCAGAATAAAGTAGGTATGATCCTATTTATGGGTTTGTTAACAAATGGGATGCAGCCCCGATATCTCATTTGCACGCAGGAAGTAAGCCTATTGTTTAAGTAAGTCAGGAGTGTCTTGGCCCTTCTCGGTTTTCCTCGAGGTGTTCACTTCCAGACCAGCTCTGGTCCCAGTAGTCTGGGGAGTGGATTTCATCTGCCCTTCCCGCACCCCCGAGTCCCTCATAAGAAGGAGCGAGTCCTTAAAAAACTCACTTCTAAACCTCCCTAACAGGACTCAGCCACAAAGAAGAGAGGACCAATGAAAATACTTTGTTCCCAAAGGCGTTTTGATTTTTTTAAGCCAATTCAGCTAGTCTAATTAAAAAAAATTACCTTTTCTTGCAAACTTTCTTTTCTACCCTCAGACTACATAGCGTTTTTCTACAGGCAAATGCTAGACATGTAATTAGTAATGAATGTGCAGCGACTGTTGCTTATTATGTATTTTTTTGTCAC